GTTACTTTTATGTTTTAACTTGGTTGGGCTGTGGCACCCAGATATTTAGATAAACATCATTCTGGATGTTTCTGTGAGAGGGTTTTTAAAGGGTTAGTTCCCCTTTCTCCACAACCTCTCCAACATTTGTTGTTTCTTTCCCTGTCCATTTTGGCCATTCTAACTGGTGTAAGGTGGTATCTCAGTGTGGTTTTGATTTGGATTGCCCTGATGGCTAATGATGATGAACATTTTTTCATGTGTCTGTTAGCCATTTGTATGTCTTCTTCAGAGAAGTGTCTGTTCATCTCTTCTGCCCACTTTTTGACTTGATTATTTGTTTTTTGGGTGTTGAGTTTGAGAAGTTCTTTATAGATTTTGGATACCAGCCCTTTATCTGTAGTGTCATTTGCAAATATCTTCTCCCATTCTGTGGGCTGCCTCTTTGTTTTGTTTTGTTGACTGTTTCCTTTGCTGTGCAGAAGCTTTTTATCTTGATGAAGTCCCAAAAGTTCATTTTTGCTTTTGTTTCACTAGCTTTTGGAGATGTATCTTGAAAGAAGTTGCTGTGGCCGATGTCAAAGAGGTTACTGCCTATGTTCTCCTCTAGGATTTTGATGGATTCCTGTCTCACATTGAGGTCTTTCATCCACTTATGAGTTTATCTTTGTGAATGGTGTTAGAGAATGGTCGAGTTTCATTCTTCTGCATGTGGCTGTCCAATTTTCCCAGCATGATTTATTGAAGAGACTGTCTTTTTTCCATTGCATGTTTTTTCCTGCTTTGTCAAAGATTATTTGACCATAGAGTTGAGGGTCCATATCTGGGTTCTCTATTCTGTTCCATTGGTCTGTATGTCTGTTTTTGTGCCAGTACCATGCTGTCTTGGTGATCACGGCTTTGTAATATAGCTTGAAATCGGGCAACGTGATGCCCCCAGCTTTGTTTTTCTTTTTCAACATCTCCTTGGCGATTCGGGGTCTTTTCTGATTCCATACAAATTTTAGGATTGTTTGTTCCAGCACTTTGAAAAATGTCATTGGAATTTTGATCGGGATGAGCACTGGGTATTAAATGTAAGTGATGAATCACTAAATTCTACTCCTGAAAACATATTACACTACATGTTAACTAGAATTTAAATAAAAATTTGAAAAAAAAAAAATAAAGGAGAGCTGTAATGTTAAGATATGAGGAATCACTGCCTTACAACTCATTAAAAAATATAAAATAAATAAATAAATAAATAAATAAATTTTGAGTAAAGCAGACTGTCCTCCATAATGTGGGTAGGCCTCTCAATTGATTAAAGACATGAATACAAGAAAAGACTGACCTCCCTAAGCAAGAAAGGAATCCTGGCAACAAATAGCTTTTGGACTTGAATCACATCAGCTCTTTCCTGGTCTCCAGCCTGACAGTCTTTTGACTTGAATCACAACATCAGATCTTCCATGAGTCTGCATCCTGCCAACCTACCCTACAGATTTTGGATTCACCTGCCTCCATAACTGTGTGAGCCAATTCCTTAAAATATATCTCTCTCCATGAAAATCAATCAACATGATATACCACATTAACAAAATGAAGGATAAAATCAATCATCTCAAGAGATGCAGAAAAAGCACTTGACAAAATCCAACATTCATTCATGATAAGGAAAAAAACCTCTAAACAATGTTGGTACAGAGAGAACACAACTCAACATAGTAAAGGCCATATATGTCAAACCCATAGCTAACTTCATCTTCAATGGTGAAAAGCTGAAAGCTTTTCCTCTAAGATCAGAAACAAGGCAAGGATATCCACTCTCACCACTTTTATGCAACATAATACTCGAAGTCATAACCACAGCAATCAGACAAGGAAAGAAAATAAAGAAAAGAGAAAGGAATGGGAGGGGAGGGGGGAGGAGGGAAGAGAAGGCAAGGACATCTGAATTGGTAACGAAGAAGTAAAACTGTCACTATTTGCAGATGACATGATACTATATATAGAAAACCATTAAGGCTCCAACAACAACAACAAAGTTAGAATAAATGAATTCAGTAAAGTTGGAGGATACAAAACTTATATACAGAAATCTGTTTCTATACACTAATAAACTAGTAAACAGAAATCAAGAAAATGATCCCATTTACAATTGTATAAAAAAAGAATAAAATACCTAGAAATAAATTTAACCCAGGAGGTGAAAAACCTGTACTCTGAAAACTAAAAGACACTGATGAAAGAAATTGAAGATGACATAAATAAATGGAAAGATATACCACACTCATGGATTGGAAGAATTAATATTGTTAAAATGTCCATTACCCAAAGCAATCTACAGATTCAATAAAATCCGTATCAAAGTATCAAGAGCTTTTTCAAAGAATAGAACAAATAATCCTAAAATTGGTATGGAACCATAAAAGACCCCAAATAGTCAAAGCAACTTTGAAAAAGAAGAACAAAGCCGGAGGTATCACACTCCCAGATTTCAAATTATACTACAAAGCTGTAGTAACCAAATCAGTATGGTACTGGCATAAAAACTGATACATAGATCAATGGAACAGAACAGACAGCCCAGAAATAAATTCATGCTCATATGGTCAATTAACCTGACAAAGGAGAAAAGAACATACAATGGGAAAAAGAGAGTTTTCTTCAATAAATGGTGTTGGGGAAATAATAGCTACATGCCAAAGAATGAAAATCAACCATTTTCTTATATGATATACAAAAATAAACTCAAAATGGATTAAAGACCTAAATGTAAAACCTGAAACCATAAAACTCGTAAATGAAAACATATGCAGTAAACTCTTGGGACATTGGTCTTAGCAATATTTTTTTGGACCCATCTCTTCATACAAGGAAAACAAAAGCAAAAATAAACTATTGGAACTACATAAATTTAAAAAGCTTTTGCACAGCAAAGGAGACCATCAACAGAACAAAAAGGCAATCTGCTGAATGGGAGAAGATATTTGCAAATGGCGTATCTGATGGGGTTAATATGTAAAATATATAAAGAACCCATACAACTCAACACCAAAAAACAAACAATCCGATTAAAATGGTCAGAGGACCTGACTAAACATTTTTCCAAAGATGACGGTGAGATGGTCAACAGACACGTGAAAAGATGCTCAATATGACTAATCATTGGGGAAATGCTAATCAAAACCACAATGAGATATCACTTCATACTGTCACAATTTCTAGGATCAAAACACAAGTAATAACAAGTGTTGGCAAAGGATGCAAAGAAAAGGGAACACTTGTATAATGATGGTAAGAATGTAAATTGGTATACCCACCACGGAAAACAGTATGAGGTTCCTCAAAAATTAAAAACAGAAATACCATACAATTCAGCAATTCCACTTGTAGGTATTTACCAAAGAAAATAAAAACACTAACCAAAAAGATATATGCACCCCTATGTTCATAGCAGCATTATTTACAATAGCCAAGATATGGAAGCAACTGAAGTATCCATCAATGGATGAATGGATAAAGAAATGTAGTATATATACACAATGAAATATTATTTGGCCATAAAAAAAGAATGACATCTTGCCATTTGAAACAACATGAATGGACCTAAAGGGTATTATGCTAAACAAAACAGAAACAAATTCTTAAATACAGAGAACTAGTGATTGCCAGAGGGGATAGAGGATAGGGAAATTGGTAAAGGGGATTAAGAGGTACAAACTTCCAGTTAATAAAATAAGTAAGTCATGGGGATATAAAGTGTAGCTTGGAATATAGTAAATAATACTGTAATAACTTTGTATGATGACAGATGGTAACTATACTTACCATGGTATTTTGTAGTGTCACTATATTGTACATCTCAAACTAATACTGTATTTCAATTGATAACTTCAATAATAAATAGATACATAAGTAATCTCTGAATCAATAAATAGATAAGTAGACATAGCTACATCCACCTTTCTACCTACCTATACATACTCACACCCTATTAGTTCAGTTTCTCTGGAGAATCCTAACTAATCCAGGAGGTAAGTCCAGAGAGAGGGGAAGGACTGAGTCAAGAGTCCAATAAAGGTATTGGAAGTCCAGAAAAGCAACTTTAGAGAGGGTAAGGGAACATGAGAACAGGAGGACAGTTAAGTTACTACACCCAGAGTTCAGAGAGTTTCAGATTTCAGATGCAGAGTGGATGTAAATGAGAACAAAGTCAGAGGGCTGAAGGAAGAGAATGTGGAAAGTGAAAACGCCTTTGGGGCTCAAGAGCTGCACATGGAAGCAGTGCACTCTGTGACCATGGGGACTGGAACAAAGAGAAGACTGTGAGCCAAGGCATCAGGAGATAGGCAGGGCTGCCTGCTAACATTTTCCAGTGGCTCCTTATCATCTGCAGAGAAAGTCACCTTCACATGGCCCTTTGCACCTTTCCAGCTCACCTCTCCTCAGCTCCAGTCCAGCCACACTGACCTCCGTGTCTATGGTCTGGAAGTTGACTAAGCTCTCAGCCTTCAAGCTTTTGCAATCCACTCCTCACCCCACTTCTCTCTCTTCATATTGGCAGCTTCAAAGGAAACCAAAACAAATCTTCACCTTGACAAGCAGTCTTAAAAAACCAAAGACCATCTGAGCAATAGTCTCTTAAAAGGTCAGGAAAATTTCTTCCTATACTCAGTGGTTAGCTACATCTTGAATGAAACAAATTGCACTTTTCTGTGGAACTGCAGGTTCTATTTTCCTTTTAAGGGTGCCTGGGTGGCTCAGTCGTTAAGCGTCTGCCTTCGGCTCAGGTCATGATCCCAGGGTCCTGGGATCGAGTCCCACATCAGGCTCTCTGCTCGGCAGGAAGCCTGCTTCTCCCTCTCCCACTCCCCCTGCTTGTGTTCCTGCTCTCGCTATCTCTCTCTCTGTCAAATAAATAAATAAAATCTTTAAAAAAAAAAAAAGTTTCAGATTGCACAATCCCAATCACATCCCAGAATCTGAGCTTTCTAGGTTTGATTCAGGTAGCATCAGAGAACTGTATTAATTACCTGCAAAGGTGACAGAGGCAGCAGCACGTGGCAACAGGTGGACTCACATCCAAGCTCTTATTTTTTTGCATACCATTGTCCATTGCTGTCTCTCTTCCAATTTCAATGTTTAGTGCAGATATACGCTTTGTGCATTGATTTCTTTTCCTATTCTTGATTTTCCCTCTACAGCCTCTCTTGAACCTAGTGCTTTATTTAAAAAGTGGTAAATAAAACATGAACTTGGTTTTTACTTTTAAAGCATGAGGTGGTTCAATAAATAGAAGAGTGGATGGATGTTAATCAATTACACTTGATTCATGGCTTTCCAACAGATATCTGGATCAGAGACTCTGGCAGTAAACTTTAAGGAACAAGGAACTCTGAGTTCTTTCCTTGGCCTGAGAAAAATTTAACCCCTTTTGCTCATTTTCTTCCTTCCATAAAGACTGTATGGGGCTGGGGAGAGACTTTAGGGGACTGGAGTGACTCCATTCTAAGTGACTACCCTTGTGTGTTCACTCACCTTCCCAGACCATCCTTCAAGTCCCCCCAGTAACTCAGACAACAGCATTATTAGATGGTCAGAGTTTCCCACAAGTGACCCTTCTTTCTACAATTAAGGAGGCTGAAGCTCTTAGTGGTAGAAATAAGTATGATTTCTATTTTCCTTAGACTAAATGCTCTCCTTCCTTAATAAGCTTCTCCTCATTCACAGTGAAATTGAAAACACAGCCTTTTCCTGATGACCAGATGGCCCAGGAAATTTAATCACTTCAAGCACTGCACAGTTCCTCCCCACCACCGTCCATGGTGGGGAAACCGGAGGCACAATCCTTATTCCTCCCAGATGCCAACCTCTCTTGAGTGCTTCCCTCAATCATTATTTTTTAAAAGCCAGAGCAATGGAGTTGGGAGAAAGCAATATTTCTTTAAAGCCATAAAATAAAACAAATCTTTCAGAAGAGAGAAAGAGTAAGTGAATTAAAAAAATGAGTCTGGGCGCCTGGGTGGCTCAGTCGTTAAGCGTCTGCCTTCGGCTCAGGTCATGATCCCAGGGTCCTGGGATCGAGTCCCACATCAGGCTCCCTCCTCAGGGGGAAGCCTGCTTCTCCCTCTCCCCATCCCGCTGCTTGTGTTCCTGCTCTCACTATCTCTGTCTCTGTCAAATTAATAAATAAAATCTTTAAAAAAAAAAAAATGAGTCAAAGTGACATTCTTCATTAATATTTAGCTCAACAAGGATGCCACTTACATTTATTCTAACTTATCTGGAATAATTGCGTTTGAATTAAAATTTCCCTTCAAATTCATATCGAGGTTTTCAGTGAGTAAAGCAAAGAAATTCTGATGGATAACGTAGGGTAATATGAATAGAATCTTACATCAGTTGACATCCACTTAATACTGTGGACTGTTTCAGCTAATAAAAGCCTATCATGATTCCTGAGTTTCTTTGGGTATATTTTCCTTTGACAGTCTTACATAGGTAAGTTTATTAAACTTTCCAAACCTGTTTCTTCCACCTGAAAAAAAAAATGCGTACCTTAGGCTTACCAATATATGAAAATAATAGAGGGAAAAAAATTCGTATTAGTATGGCACATTCCAGGAGAGATAATTTTTTTTAAAGATTTTATTTATTTTTGAGACAGAGAGAACAAGCACAAGCAGGGAGAAGGGGCAGAGGGAGAGGGAGAAGCAGACTCCTTCACTGAGCAGGGAGCCCGATGCAGGACTCAATCCCAGGATCCTGGGATCATGACTTGAGCCGAAGGCAAACGCTTAACCGACTGAGCCACCCAGGCTTCCTCCAGCACAGATAAATTAACTATACCAAAGGAGATTTCCCCCTATAGTTTGCTCTCTTATATCATCAGGAAATCAACCCTCACCTCCTTCCTCAAACCAATTTTGAAGATGGTAACTAATGCTCTTATTTACATGGGAATTGGTAACTCCTTCAATTACTGCTGAAAATAATAACATATTAAGGTTGCTATGAACTGTCAAGGAAAATTAGTTTGCAACAGGGATTTTTATTAACAGAATTGAGAAGTGAAACCAAAACTGAAGTGGCAGCACCTATTCTGCATTTGGAAAATATGCTCTTAGAAAATGTACAAGCAAGTCACATCCACACTTGTTTCTAAAAGCTCAGGACACTAAAGTGTTCTAAAGAGCATGGCAATAAAGCCACCATTCAGAAATAAAAGTGGATTATACAGGTTCCAGATGAAATGCTTAGATGGCAGATTTTTCTCTCTTTCCAGTACTTCATTTTATAAAAAAAGCAACTTGACTAAATAGCTCCTGTGTCTTATTCTCTACTAACAGGAAGTGATTATAATGAATCTCCATTTTTTATATTCCTTGCAAAATGTAATTAACTGGAAGCCTTAGACAGATAGAAAAATCTTGTTTATACAAAAATTCCTCCTCAGAAAGGATAGAAATCTCCGTGATTCAACAGAAAACAATTAGTCGCTAATTCAAGACAGTAAAAACTTTTCTCTCATCACAAAAGACATAAACTAATGAAATGTTTTGATATTTTTCCTTGTTAGTGATTTTACGCACACGAGGTATAAAAATTGGTTAGTGTGGAGGGAGACTAAATAATGTTAAGTATTCCAAGCAACAGTCTGAAAGCTAATTAAGGAGTAAGGACCTAGGTTCAGAGCCATGTTTTTTCCTCTTCCAAAAACACATTGAGCCTGGAATCTGAACTAAAGGGTCACAGAATATTTACTTTAAAACTTTCTAGTCGGTAGAAGAAAACACTTCTTTGCTACAAAGGCGCAAACATGACCTAACATTCCCTATAAATCTTGAGCAAGGAAAATAGGATGTAATAGTGGGGGGAAAAAGTCCAGATTTTAGTTCCTAAAATAAACTTTATGCAATCACAGGAAGCATTTAGATCCCTTTTTTTCCTCCTCTTGTAGGAAAATGAAACAATCTCTGGGCCACAGGAAATAACACAAATTTTAGAAAATCCCTGTGGTATTAGAGAAAAAAACTTCAAGTGGATCTTTTCTGAGTCCCTTAGATGACGTAAAGGACAACAGATGTTCAAAGACTCAGGGACTTCAAGAAGTAATTAGTTCATACTGGCAAGAGGGACAACTCCATCCGAGGTGCAGGAAAACAGGACAGCAGAGCCACACACATAACACTACAAACAATATTGTCTGCACACAACTAGCCCCGGGCTTCATTTTGGCAAAAAGGGCAACTGCAAGGAGAGTAATGAGGGCAGGAGGTACAGAAGAAAGAAGGGATGGGGGGGGGAGGGACTGAGGAAAGAAGAGAAGGGATGGGACAATTTTATTTTAAGTTGCCGGCAGATTTTACTAAAACCAAGTAAAAATATGGGCATGTCAATAATTGATGGGACAATTTCAGAAAAATCAACAATTCATAACTGCAGATATAATGCATATGAAAAAATTCATATCATAATGTAACTGGGTAGGAGAAAAGGTTTATAATGTTTTAACTAAATTTAATTACAGGTATCTAAAGAATAAATCCTGTGAAATCTACTTTCTGCCTTAAAAATATTTTCTCTTAGAATACCCAGTTAGGAGGGTATTTTTGGCATTGCTACATAGGGCACATTAGCAGACCAACATTTTTATAATCTCATAGAAGACTTATCAATTAAATCCTTCTCAGGATGAAAGGTCAAAAAGTGGTTTATGTAGGGTAAATCAGGAAGAACTTCATATTTTTTAGAGATTTCTTTTAACACTTCTTTTAACAATATAATCCAGTCGTCATCCCATTCAGAATATATAGTGTTGCTTTGTTCTTTTATAATAGCTGCTTTGTACTCTATTGTATGGCTGCTCTACAATTTATTTAAGTCTCTGTGGAAGGAAAATGGGTGGTTGAGTGAGTAGAAGGAGAAAATATATTTTTTTCTCCAAATTATAATTTTTAAGGTTATATTTCATACAAAGAATTTGTACAAGTGGGGCACATGGGTGGCTCAGTTGGTTAAGCGTCTGACTCTTGATTTCAGCTCAGGTCATGATCTCAGGGTCATGAGATCAAGCCCTGTGTCGGGCTCCATACTGGGCATGGAGCCTGCTTGAGATTCTCTCACTCTCCCCTTTTCTCTCTCTCTTTCTCTAAAAAAAAAAAAAGTACAAGTGAGCTAAGAATTAAAAAAATATCTATGACCGCTCTCATCCACTCACCCTCCCAACTTAAAAAAACAAAAAAAAACTAGTTTACCAAAACTGTAGCTATCTTTGTGTTCCTTTCCTGCCTCATCCCCCACTGACACCCTAGAAGTAACAGTTACCCACAGGTTTTTAGGAAAATTTAATCACATGTACATATGACTATTATCATATATTACTTGAGGTTTTTTGAACTTTATAAAATGGTATACTATAGTCTTCCATAACTTGCCATTTTCACACATTATGTTTCTAAGATTATCCATTTTTATAAAGAGCTGCAGTTCATTATCACTCCTGCATAATATTCTACTGTGTGACTATACTACAAGGAATTTATCCACTCTTTTGTTTCTGGACATTTGGGTTATTTGCAGATTTTTGCTACTCTGAATAGCACTGCTATGAACATTCTCATACGTGTATTCTGGTGCACATGTGCAAGAAATACTAGGAAACACCCAGAGCAGAGTAGTAAGTTATGTGACTGTAATATTATAACAATGTGTTCTCCAGAGTGGTTGTTTACCACTTTACCAGCAATGTCTAAGACACATGCCTTTCAACACTTTTTGTAAGACTTAATTTTTACAACCCAGTGCATACACAGTGGCATCTCATTGGTTTTGATTTGTATTTTCTTGATTACTACTGGGATTGAGCTTCTTTTGTTTATTGGACATTCATATTTTCTCTCCTGTGAAATACCTGTTTTGTTTGTATTGCCCAATTTTCAATTAGGTCACCCTTTTTTTCCTTATTTATTTGTAAGTTGTTCTTGCATTATTCCAAATAACTAATTATAGGTGCTGCAATATGTTCTCTCAGTTTATGGTTTATCTCATTTTCTATATGTCTTCTACTGAAGAGACATTCTTAATTTTAATGCAGCCAAATTTATCAATCTTCTCTTTTATGATTAGGGTTGTTTGTATAAGAGATTCTTCCCCCTAAGGTCACAAAGGTCCCATATTTTCTTCAAAAGTTTATAATTTTACCTTTACTGGGTGTTATATGAAAACAATGAATCGTGGATCACTGCATCAAAAACTAATGATGTATTGTATGGTGACTAACATAATAAAATAAAATTTAAAAAAATAATTTTACCTTTTAAAGTTGATTTTATATGGCATGAGGAAGGGATCCATTCTTTTCCATATAGATAACCAGTTGTCCCAGCACTGTTTCCCCCATCTGCAATACCATTTTGTCATAAGTCAAGTGTTCAAATATGTACAGACTGTTTCTGGGCTCTCTTATTTTCTATTCTTGTGTTAACAACAAACTGTCTTAATTACTATAAATTCATAGTAAGTTTTGATATCTGGTAAGGCAAGTTGCTTTCCTCCTCCTCCTCCTCTTCTTCCTTCTTATTTTCTTAAACAGGACTTTCTCAGCTATTCTTGCATCTTTGTTCTTCATACAGATATTTCAGTCAGATTGTTAAGCTTTATTAAAAAGGACAATTATTTTTCATGTAATGCCTTTTTATACCTTTTACATTTTGTCTGGAAGCCACGTATTACAAATAAAAAATAATTTTTAAAAAATCTTATGACTGCCTATTGTGTCAAGGTCAATCTGCACTTCATGTCATTTAAGGCCCACTGTAATCTGATTAGTTTTCCAGCCTATTATCCATTACTTCCAAATAGGAAACTACATCTCTAAATAGGCTAGTTTTTCTAAAGCTCTCTCTTGTAAACCACAGTCAGCCCACTTATACCCCATCCTTGCTCATATTATTTCCTCATATTAAACCACCTATTCTTCAAACCTGATTGCAGATCTTTCTCCAATCCAGTTCCCTAAAACTACTAATGTACTTAAAGTCAGAGTTTGGCTCTTATTAGTTTTAAATTTTATTTGTGATAATTTATTGTCCTCAATTAAAGTATGAGCTTCCTAGGGCAACTATGGACTACAAAAGAGTTAAAGAAATATTTTTGATGGGCTCTTTTCCATGTTAAATGGATTTTAGACTAATCACCGTTGCCAACCTTTGGGTCCAGTCACAATAAGGTCTTTTTATTTGGATATGTTGTCTTGCTTTTGTACTTGATGTAGGTGGGGTAACTATGATTAGTGAACTACAAGAGAAAGCCAATGCTTAATGGAATTCATTTGCAAGGGACTTTTACAACTTAATTTGAAAATTCCTTCATCAGCAGAGACAGCCTAATAACATGTTCTTGTAGTAGTTTACAATGTATCTATATAGCTCTCCATCTGAAGAGATGATAAAGAAACAAGTGTGTGAACCATAATTAAATCCATTAGGCACAGTGTGAGAAATAATGTTTAAACAACAGTTCAACAGCAGCAACACCCATATTCTTCAAAATCTCTTCTAATGCCTGAAACAGATATAGTTGAAGATAATTTATTGTTCTTATTTTACTTCTCAATTAAAATAATAAAAATTAAAAATCATTATTGCTTGATATATTCACTTTGTAGAAGACAACTAATGTTGCTGTAAAGGCCCAAACTAATTTGCAATAGTATAAAAATTAGCGAAGGCATAGGGTATGAATGAGCTGAAATAAAAACCAACAACTATGAAACTTAAAAATATCTATATAAGACTACAAATAATAAAGAACAAGAAAGTAGTTTGAAAAAATCTTCAACTAAATGACCACTTTTCGTCTTTTTTTATTAAAGGGTATTCTTTTTTGTATTAAACATCTTTTATGTATTAGCCAACTTATCTGTTGTTATAAACCTGACATTCTTGGGGATAAAAGTCAGCTACTTTTCAATTAATAAGTTGGAAGTATAGCACATCATTATTTATATAGGTCATTCAATTTCAGAGTTTAACAAGATTTTCAAAGCACTGATATGCTTTACACTGAAGATTGGATTTAAATGTTATTTAAGTAAAGGTTTCTGATTAGGAAAGTGGTCTATGACCAAGTTCTATTGTCATTGTACTCCATGGAAACTTTAAGCCAAATTATTTAAAAATAGTTCTAAATGTGAAAACAATTTGCTGCTTCAGATCACACAATAGGATATGGCAGAAGAAAGGAAAGAAAGCAAGTAATTGAATTGATTATCCTTCAAGTTTCAACCCGAAATCTAAACATCAATAGTCATTCAAAATAGCTCAAGAGAGAATGTTCATCTAGTTTTCAATAAGCTTTTTTAGATAGAAAAAAAAAAATGAGAGTCAAAAGAAAAAGGGATTTGAAAATAACCATACATGGAATTGTGACATGTTAGGCATTTGAAAAGGGTTATCTTTTTATAAAAATACTATTCTAAAAAGTATAATCCAATATCAGAAAGCAATTCATTACTGCATCATTCTTTTTTTATAACTTTATTCTGATATAACTGATGCACAGTAAACTGCACATATTTATTTATTTATTAAATATTTATTTGTTTGAGAGAGAGAGAGAGAAAAGGGCATGTAGGCAGGAGGAGGGACAGAGGGAGAGATAGAATCTCAAGCAGGCTCCCCGCTGAGCACAGAGCTCAATCTCATGACCCTGAAAGCATGACCTGAGCCAAAACTAAGAGTCTGCCGCTCAACCAACTGAATCACCCAGATGCCCCAAACTGCACATATTTAAAGTATACAAGTTGATTGGTTTTGGCCACAGTATATACTGTAAAACCTCACTATAATCAAGTTATTGAACATCTCTATCACTTCCCAAAGTTTCCTTATTTCCTTTTTAATCCTTCCCTCTCTCCATCCCTTTCTCTCCCAACACCCATCCCTAGGCAACCACTGATTCACTTTTCAAGTAGTTAAGTATGCATTTTCTAGAAATTATATAAATGGAATTATACAGGGGTGCCTGGGTGGTGGAGTCGGTTGAGCGTGGGACTCTTGGTTTCTGCTCAGGTTGTGATCTCAGGGTCGTGGGATGGAACCCTGTGTGGGGTTCCATGCTCAGTGAGGGGTCTGCTTGTCCCTATCCCTCTGTTCCTCCACCGGCTCACACTCTCTCTCTCAAACAAACAAATAAATAAGATCTTTAAAAAAAAAATAAATGGAATTATACAGGTTCCACTTTTTTTGTCTACCACTTTCACTCAGCATTGATTTATTAATATTGTATCAATAATTCATTCCATTTGTTTCTATGAAGTACTCTACTGCATAGATAGAGCAAATCTGGTGTGTCTGTTCACCATATGGTACACGTATGAGTTGTTTCCAGCTTTTGGATATTATAAACAAAATTGGTAGGAATATTTATTTATAGATAAGTCTTCAGGGGATATATGTTTTGTTTCTCTTGGGTAAATATGCAGGAGAATAGTTAGATTGTATGTTAGTGCATGTTTAACTCTTTTAGAATATGACATATTGCTTTCCAAATGTAAATGTACCATTTTACATTTCCATCAACAGTGTATGAGACAGAATTCCAGTAGATCCATATCAACACCAAGAGTTGGTGTGGTCAGTCTTTTTCACTGGCTGTGTAGTGATATCTCATTGTGGGGTTTTGTTTTGTATTGGTGACTTTTTTGGCATTTTCCTAGTGACTAAAGATGTTGAGCACTTTTCACGTTATTTTTCAGTGGTATCTTTTTCTTCGTGAAGTCTCTAGTCAAATCCTTTGCCCATTTTAAAATTAGGGATTTTTCTTTGGTCTTTCTAATGGATTGTAAGAGTTCTTTATATAGTTTAGATACAAATTCTTTGTCAGATATGTTTTATGTTTTCTCTGAAGTTTGAAAATTGTCTTTTCTTAACTGTTTTTAAACACTTGTTTTAATTTTTATAAAGTACCATTTAACCTTTTCTTTTATAGTTTTATAGTGATTTTTCTATGTCCTATTTAAGAAATCTTTGCCTAACTTAAGATTATGAAGGTTTTCTCCTATATTTTCCTTCTAGAAGTTTCATAGTTTTAGATTTTGTATTTAGGTGTATGATCCATTTTAATTTGTAGATATGTAGATATAAAGTTTTATTTCTTTGCAAAAGATTGTCTCATTGTTAGAGAATAGTTGCTGAAAAGATTATCCATTCCTCATTGAATTGCCTCAGCACCTTTATTGAAAATCAAGTTATCATACCAGTTTATGTCTATTTATAAACTCTCTATTCTGTTCCATGGATCTACACATCTATCTGTACACCAAAACCACAATGTCTTGATTACTGTAGCTTTATAAAAAGTCTCGAAATCAGGTAACGTATGTCCTCTGACTTTAATCTTTTTTCAAAACTGTTTTCACTACCCTAGACCCTCTTTATTTCCATATAAATTTGAGACTCAAGTTGTCAACTTCAGCAAGAGAGTCTCCTGGGATTCTGATTGGAATTGCCTTGGATATAGTTCCATCTGAGGAGAACAGATGTCTTAACAATATTAAGTATTCCAAACCATGAATGTGATCACTCACCATTTATACGTTTCTTTGATTTATTAGTGTTTTGCCTTTGTCCACATCTTATTAGATTTATATCTAAATATTTGTTTTTTGTGCTATTATAAACTGCACTTTTTTTCAACTTCCCATCATTCATTGCTAGTATATAGGAATAAAATAGATTTTTGTATACTAACCTTGTATACTGCAACTCTGCTAAATTGACTTCTTTGTTCTAGTTACTTTTTTGTCTATTTTGGGGGATTTTTTTCCATAGACAATCATGTCATCTGTGAATGAAGACAGTTATATTTCTTCCTTTCCAATCTATATGCTTTTATTTCTTTTTCTATTGCACTGATAAAACCTCCAGTATGATATTGAATAAAAGTGGTGAGCTTAGACAACCTTGCCTTGGTCCCAATCTTAGAAGGAAAGTAGGGTTTCACCATTAGTTATGATATTAGCTGTAAATTTTTTTGTAGATACTATCAGGTTAAAAATGTTGTCTTTTATTCCTTCCTTGCTGAGAATTGTTATCATAAATAAATGCTAACTTTGTCATTTGCTTTTTATGCATCTATTAGGATAAATATATGGTGTTTCTTCTTTAGTCTGTTCTTTAATCTGTTATTTACACTGATTTATTTTCAAATGTTTAAGCAACCCTGCATTCCCAGGATAATGACCTCTTGGTCACAATGTGTTATTCTTTTTATACATGATGGATTCAATTAAATAATATTATGCTTAATAATTAGTATCTATGGTTATGAGGAATGTTTATCTGTAGTCTCCTTGTACTGTCTTTGGTTTAGTTATCAGGGTAATGCTAGCTTCAAAAA